AAATCTTCCCTGGGACTTCCCTTAAAATCTCCACCCTTGCCTGGCCGGCGTGCCTCAGTGGCTGAGTATCGGCCTATGAACCAGGAGGTCACGGTTCAATTCTTGGTCAGGTCACAACCTGGCTTGCGGGCTCAATACCCAGTGTGGGGTGTGCTGGAGGCAGTCGATCAATGAGTCTTTCTCATTATTGATTTTTCTATCTCCCACTCCCTCTCCCTTCCTCGCTGAAATTAATAAAAATATTTTTTTAAAAATATCCACCCTTAAAACCCTAGTGCCCTAGCTGGTTTGGCTCAGTGGATAGAGCGTTGGCCTGCGAACCAAAGGGTCTGATTCTGCTCAAGGGCCTGTACCTCAGTTTCGGGATCCTCCCCAGCGTTGGCCCTTTTTGGCTTAAAAATCTGCCATCGAGGCTCACATTGATATTTCTCTCTGTCTTTCCCTCTCTCTTGCCCTATCTCTAAAATTCAATGGAAAAATATCCTCAAGTAAGGATTAAAAAACAAAACAAAAAACAACAACAATAAAAACGTTAAAACCCTAGGGCTAGGACCCAGAGTTCTCCTTCTTGGGAGCATGCCATAGATCTTTCCTTCTCTTCTCTTTCCTTCCCTTACACCTCCCAGCCCCAGGCACATTAACACTAGCTTCCTCACTCACAAGCTTCAAAGGCCCTTTTCTTTACCTCTATAAATTGTTTATAGAGGTAAACAATTTTTTTTACCTAAGCCCATTTCTTTTAGGAATTATTTTTTCTACCTCTATGATTTACCAAATAAATGTTCTCTTACAGGGTGGGTCTTGGCTCTGAATTCTTTCCTAGCCAGAACCCAAGTACCGAGGTTGCTGAACCCAAGTTTGACCTGACCCCACCTGTCAGATACCTGGTGCAGTTCCCGCCCACCCACCACTTACAACACAACCAGGGGAGATATGCTCCTTGTTTCACTGTCCTATGTTTTTGCTGAGGTCAATAAATTCTTGCTCTCTTTGTCTCCCGATTGAAATCTTTCCCTCAAGAAGATAAGAACCCAGGTCTCATCCTCTCCACAGTAACAATGGTGAAGATTTAATGAGTAAACCAGTGGTTCTCAACCCTCCTAATGCCGCGACCCTTTAATACAGTTCCTCATGTTGTGGTGACTTCCAACCATAAAATTACTTTCGTTGCTACTTTATAACTGCAATTTTGCTACTGTTATGAATCGTAATGTAAATATCTGATATGCAGGATGTATTTTCATTGTTACAAAATGAACATAATTAAAGCATAGTGATTAATCACAAAACCAGTATGTAATTATATATGTGTTTTCTGATGGTCTTAGGCGACCCCTGTGAAAGGGTCGTTCGACCCCCAAAGGAGTCACGACCCACAGGTTGAGAACTGCTGCAGACTCAGGGGGCACACTCAGGGGGCTTTTGCATATGAAAGGCCTGGCCCTTTGCAATCTGAATATAAAGTCCTCAGATGTGTGCTTTCACTCAAATCAGAGCTTTTTGAAAATTTTCTCCACACCCCCCCACCCCCCATCTTTTACTATTAGAGTGGAAAGTAAACAGGCACAGCCCTGTGATGTTGACACTCACAATCAAGCAGAAGGTATAGACCAGCCATGGGCAAACTACAGCCTGCGGATCCGGCCCGTTTGAAATGAATAAAACTAAAAAAAAAAAAGACCGTACCCTTTTATGAAATGATGTTTACTTTGAATTTATATTAATTCACACAAACACTCCATCCATGCTTTTGTTCCGGCCCTCCGGTCCAGTTAAAGAACCCATTGTGGCCCTGGAGTCAAAAAGTTTGCCCACCCCTGGTATAGACAATGACCACTCAAAGGATGATGATAATGAAGATGTTGATGGTGATAAGGACACTGCTGCTACTAAGTACTAATAGCAGTGAGGGCTTATTTAGGACACACTCACCAAAGCAACATTCTCCTTATAACAGGGTGCGGAATGTTTTTTCGGCCGAGGGCCATTTGGATATCTATAACATCATTTGCAGGCCTTACAAAATTATCAACTTAAAAATGAGTCTGCTGGAGAGAAACCAAGATGGCGGCATAGGTAAACACCAGAAATTGCTGCCTCGCACAACCACTTCAAAAATACAACTACAAGACAAAACAGACATCATCCAGAACCACAGGAAAGCTGGCCGAGTGGAAATTCTACAACTAGAAGGAAAGAGAAAAGCACACTGAGACTCAGAGGAGCTGCGGAAGTAAAGTGCAGTGGTACAGAGGCGCACGTGGAAAGGGCTGGCAACTGAGGACACGGTTGTCTTTTTCCATCGGGAGGGAGTCTCAAAATCCCGACTGCACTGAACTGCAGTTCCGGCCGAGTCTCTGGGGACCCAGACTCATACAGGGAGAAACTGGACTGTCTGGCATCGATTGGAACTTGAGGGCGGTTTTCTCTCAGAGGTGCTTGCAGCGATTACTGGGACACTGAGACACAGGGCCTCTTAGGGCAGGACTGAGGAGCAGCCATAGCTGTGTGCAGAGGCTTTTGCATATGAAAGGCCTGGCCCTTTGCAATCTGAAAATTACCTAACAAATTGCAGCTGGGTCAGAGAGACCCAGAACTTCCAAAAGAAGCCCCAAGACCCCACAGCAGCTTGCACTACTTCACAGCTGGGCCTCATCTGGGCACCTCCAAACCCCAAACAAAGAAGAGGAATCTGCAGAACTCTCCATAGCTCCTGCTGGGTAGCCTCAGGCAGAGGCTAAATTAGCACCTCCTTAGAAACAAGAGCCAGTGTACCCAGTGGTCAGAGTGGGATCATCCAGATTACAACTCCTCACATCCATAAGGGACACACTCAGGGGGCAGACTCAGTGAGCACCAAAGCCCCACTGAAGCAAGTCTTGCCCCAGGAGGGTGTCTCCAGCACAGAAGTTCTTCCACTGCAGACACAGCTGATTCTCACAGCCAATTGGCCTGGAGGTCAATTCCTCCCAGTGATACCTACAACAATCAAGACTTAACTACAACAAGACTGTGCACAAAGCCCACAAAGGGGTGCACCAAGAGTGTCCACCTCAGGTAATTGGGGAGGCTGAGCCACTGGGCCCTATAGGACACCTAGCACAGAAAGCCACTCTATCAACACAGGGAAGCAGCCAAAATGCGGAGACAAAGAAACAGGTCACAAATGACAGAAATGGAGGAAAGCAAACTACTGGATATAGAGTTCAAAACCACACTTTTGAGGTTTTTCAAGAATTTTCTAGAAACCGCCGGTAAATTTAGTGAGCCCCTCAAGAAATCTAGTGAAACCCTTGAGGTTATGAAAAAGGACCAACTAGAAATTAAGCATACACTGACTAAAATAAAGAATATTATAGAGAGTTCCAACAGCAGACTAGAGGATCACAAGAATCAAGTCAAAGATTTGAAATACGAAGAAGCAAAAAACACCCAACCAGAAAAACAAAAAGAAAAATGAATCCAAAAATATGGGACAACTTCAAGCATACCAACATCCGAATTATGGGGGTGCCAGAAGAAGAGAAAGAGCAAGATATTGAAAACCTATTTGGAGAAATAATGACAGAAAACATCCCCTACCTGGTGAAAGAAAGAGACTTACAAGTCCAGGAAGTGCAGAGAACCCCAAACAAAAGGAATCCAAAGAGGACCACACCAAGACACATCATCATTAAAATGCCAAGAGCAAAAGACAAAGAGAGAATCTTAAAAGCAGCAAGAGAAAGAAAGTCAGTTACCTATAAGGGAGTACCCATACAACTGTCAGCTGACTTCTCAACAGAAACTTTGCAGGCCAGAAGGGAGTGGCAAGAAATATTCAAAGTGATGAATGCCAGGAACCTACAACCAAGATTACTTTATCCACCAAAGCTATCATTCAGAATTGAAGGTCAGATAAAGAGTTTCATAGATAAGGAAAAGCTAAAGGAGTTCATCACCACCAAACCAGTATTAAATGCTGAAAGGTATCCTTTAAGAAGAGGAAGAAGAAGAAAAAGGTACAGATACAAATTATGAACAACAAATACACATCTATCAACAAGTGAATCTAAAAATCAAGTGAATAAATAATCTGATGAACAGAATAAACTGGTGAATATAATAGAATCTGGGGCATAGAAAGGGAATGGACTGACTATTCTTGGGGGGGGGGGAAGGAGTGTGGGGGTGCGGGAAGAGACTGGACAAAAATCGTACACCTATGGATGAGGACAATGGGGGCGGGGGTAAGGGCAGAGGGTGGGGTGGGAACCGGGTGGAGGGAGCTATGGGGGAAAAAAAGAGGAACAACTGTAATAATCTGAACAATAAAGATTTAATTAAAAAAAAAATGAGTCTGCTGCCCTGACCAGTTTGGCTCAATGGATAGAGCCTCAGCCTGCAGACTGAAGGGTTCAATTATGGTCAGGGGCATATACCTTGGTTGCGGGCACATCCCGAGTAGGGGGCATGCAGGAGGCAGCTGATCGGTGTTTCTCTCTCATCAATGTTTCTAACTCTCTATCCCTCTCCCTTCCTCTCTGTAAAAAAATCAATAAAATATATATTTTTTAAAAAATGAGTCTGCTATATTTGGTCAAATATTTAATTAACTTACCCCTGATGCCTTGGCAGGGCCTTAGATGGCCTGCAGGCTTGGATGTTTCCAACCCCTGCCTTATTACAACCTTCTGAAGTGCCTGAGGCTATGATAGTTGATTTAAATATATGTGGGAATAACCCTCTAACCTCCTTGTTGAGTGGCTGGGATAGTACCTTCCTTGTGGTTAATATTAATCAGGTAAAATGATGCAGGGTTGAAGGAATGGTATGGTAAAAGAAGTTCTAAGCAAAAGGAATATAAATGCCCAAGGCAGACAATGCACACAGGGATCACCAAAGAACTAAGGTTCAAGCAATGTACATGCAGGGTTCGAAGCAATCTATAAATCCGTATATTAGGTATAGGGGTGACTGGAGTGATAGAAAAAGAGAGGTAAACTGCCAGAGACGCCCACCTGTTAGCAGCAGCCTGTACTGGGGGATCCTCTGAACTGGCTTGAGCAGGTAGTGCTTGAGGGCCAGATTAGCACAGCGTGGGCTCATCTGAAAGGAAAAGGCATCCAATATAAACACAAGCATTTTTCTAAGAAGCAGGACCAGATTCAGGTGCCAAGGAAGGCAAATTTTAAATAGCCAGCAGCTCTAGGAGGGAATTCACAGAGAAATTCCCTTTATTTTAAGCTGTACCTATGATGCTGAGAGTGAAACTATAGCCAATTCATTACGTAGTCCACCCTCTCCCATAGGTTAATAAGTCTCTCAAATCACTGACTCAGGGAAAACGTGTTCACAGCCCTCACATACAGAGAGTGGTGGCTGCATGTTAGGCCAATTTAGAGCCCATCCTACTCAGCAGCTGCCACTGAGACCCTACCAGTGCATGAATTTCGTGCACTGGGCCTCTAGTGCAGTGGTTCTCAAACTGTGGGTCACGACCCCTTTGGCTGTCAAATGACCCTTTCACAGGGGTCGCCTAAGACCATCCTGCATATCAGATATTTACATTACGATTCATAACAGTAGCAACATTACAGTTATGAAGTAGCAACGAAAATAATTTTATGGTTGGGTCACATGAGGAACTGTATTTAAAGGTCCAGAAGGTTGAGAACCATTGCTCTAGTGTATTCATAAACATAAACAAAACCTTTGAACAAGAATACAATGCATGTCCCCCAAAGTAAGTTGGCAGAAATAAACCTACTGGGAAATGGATTCAAATAATAGTCAGAGCCTATCAATATACTCATAATAACAATGGTTCATACTGCAGAGAATTGCAGAAATTAAAGATCACCTGAAAAGTAGCCTTGCTAAGCATCCTTTCTTTAATAATTCTGAAGAATGTAAAACTTTCTTACATGATTGGCTATAAGAGACAGCCCCCAAATCACAGTGGATACAGAAACATTTGATTCAGAACCATTCTGACTTGACTGCAAGGACATTTGATTCTTCCTTTAAAGCTCTTTTCTTGGTGTGTACAACAGACACTTCTGTCCATTCCTAAGCCCCACCCCATTTTCCAACACAGTTATTTACTGTGAGTTGGCATCACAATGGCCAAGTGAAAATGTCCCTCATCCAAAGATATCCTGCACTTCTTATACAGATCAGGTGGATGGGGAAGAGGTTTTTTTCTGCTTTTTTTCCCCCCAGATTTGTTCAGATTGTTTTATTTTTTTCTAAATATGCACCTCCAAGCTCTGGTACACAAAATAATTCTGAAATTATATGATAATGCATGTTAAGAAAGCATCTATCATGCAAGCACCATTAACCCAAACAGCTAACTTTCCCATCTTATGGTGTGTTTTTCTCTGCTAAAGCAATGGAACTACTCCTTGAACCCGATGAAAACCTGGGTCAATTATCAGTTCCATAACTATGTACATCACACTTCCTTTCTTAATAGTGTGAAGACATTAGCAGAGAGGTAAAAAGGAAGTAAAAAAAGACTACGAACAATTTTAAAGTTTAATTATCTGTATGTGTTTTTTAAAGCACACATGCTACTAATTTAAAGTAAATTTAATTCTACACAGCCTTGTTTTTTTAAAAAATTGTGTTGCCTTACAATGCCGTTTGAAACCTGCAAAGTACATTAGAAGCAAGAAAGAAAAGGGAATGGCTGGTTTTCATTTGAATTGTTTTTTGATAAAACTGTATTTGGTAAATATTTTACAGACTAAAAATTAACATATGACCTGGTTATTTTCTTGCCTACTGTACAAATTAGAAACCAGCAGTATCCTTTTTTTCCTAAGGAGCTCCTTTTATTATTTTTTAATTTGTATTTAATGATGAGAGAGAGAGAGAGAGAGAGAGAGATCTGTTCTTCCACGTATCCATGCATCCTCTGGTTGATTCTTGTATGTGCCCTGACCAGAAATCAAACCAGCAACCTTGGTATATCGGGACAACACTCCCACCAATTGAGTTACCCATTCAGGGCAAAATCAGCAATATCCTAATACAGCTAAAATTTTTCTATTTTTGTGCGACTGGAATTCACTAAAATTTTTAGTTTCAAAGCAGAGACATAATCACTAAAGCATATAGTAATTTTACCTAAAATTAGGGGAGAAGACTTAAGTAAAACTGTAGTTAAAAATTATTTTTTTTAAAAGAAGCATTATATCAGTTTATAACAAACCAAATCAGGCTTGTACCCTCACAGCTTTGAGACAAAACACAAAGCTTTGGCAATAAAAATACTATTCATTTTTCTTAACAGTGACACTAAAACTATGTTATTTATTTATCTAAAGGGAAAAAATTATATTTCCATCCATGATTATAGATTAGTTGTTATAAGAATAAAGGGAAAAGTTTAGTTAAAAATAAGAAGTGTTCTCTAGAGTAGTCAAATTCACAGAGACAGAAAGTAGAATGCCAGGGGCTGAGGAAGCAGAGAATGGGGAGTTAGTGGTTGTTTAATGGGTATAGCTTCAGTTTTGCAGATGAAAACAGTTCTGGAGGTTGGTTGCATAACAAGATGAATGTACACTTGAAAATGGTTAAGAGGGTTAAGTTTCATTTTTTGAATATTTTACCACACACACAAAAAAAGAGACTTTAAAATATTCAAATGTGCAATAACAGATTTCCAAAATTAAATCTTGTAGAACTGCTTGAGTTCTATTGAATTTGTTCAACTCCCTCTATGATTTTGAAGGGATTATATTTTAATATCTTTCTGTTTGCAAGGTTTATTTTCAATGACTGCAGATTAAAACTTTAAAGCAAACAAACAAAAGCTCAACATTAGATGGTAGCAAAAATACCTCAAATTCTCTAACAACAGCAGCGAAACCTGGGTTTTTCTTGCACTGCTCATCCAGCAAAGCTATATTCTTATCAAATTCTTTGATGTATGTGGAATACATTTTTAGATATGGCCCCTTCTTTACAAAGATATCAGCAATTCTTTGTTGTTCTGTCCTAAAGATAAAGAGATACACAAAAATATTAAGTCATTAATGTATCCAAAACATGTCCAATGAGTAGAGTCCCATATTCAAGCATCAGCTTATCTCTTTACTCTTCTTGTGAGACATATCCCCAAATGGCTACTCTTCACCATTTCCACTGCCAACATCACATTTTGCCAGGATTCTGCCAACAAGATGGTCTCCCTGCTTCTACCATGCCATTTTTATGCAGCCAGAATATAAAAACATGCATCATGTGACTTCCAATAATCTCCTTGGCTCTAGCAGAAAAATAAACTTGTCTGAGAGGCTTACAAAGCCCCACAGGTGCCACTGCTCGTACTCTGCTGACCCATCTTACCCTTCTCTTCCTCTTTCTCTTTACTCTCCAGCCACATTGGCTTTCTTCATAGTCTTTTGACACAGAGAATCCATAACCACTGTCAAAACTTGTATTAAAGGTTTCACAAGCCTGGAGATATGGAACCCAGTCTGGCCGCTCCTTTTTGGTCAGATGTCATTTTCAATGTGCTGCCTTCTTAGAGGGCCTTCCTTAACCACCCAATCTTCATTCACTAACACATGATCCTATTTTACATATATGCAGATCAGAAACTGCTTCTAACTAGTTTTTTTTTGGTGTGTGTGTGTGTTTTTGTATGTTTGTCTTGTGCTTCCCTTACTAAAATGTTTGCTCCATGAGAGTAAGAGACCTGTATGTTTTGTGTGCTGTGATATGCCTGGCATGCTTAGAGTGCTGATTAGCACATAATAGGTACTCAAAACTTGTTGAACACAGAAATGAAAGGTTTCATCATTGTTACTGAAAGCCAGTATAAAATAAATGTTATTTCAGAAAGTCTATTAACACCAAAGAATGTCTTGATTTAAAAACCTTAAAGAAAAATCTACACTAATAAAAGAGAAACATGGTAATTGGCGTATGACCGCTACCCTTTTCATTGGCTAATCAGCGAGATATGCAAATTAACTGTCAGCCAAGATGGCGGCCGGCAGCCAGGCAGCTTGAAACTAACATGGGGCTTGCTTGCCTCAGTGACGGAGGAAACCAACGTTCCCCGCCTGCGGCTGCAGGCCTCTGAGCCTGCAGTTTCAAACATTGTAACAGATACCGCGGGACTTCAGCCAGCAGATTCGCAACATTGTACGCAAAGGCCAGAAACCTACTTTCAGCCCGGAGGCCTAAGAGCTGGAGCCAAGCCTCAAGCTGAAGCTGGCCCAGAATAAAAAAAAAAGAAAAGAAAAAAAGGAGCGGTTGGGAACTTCAGTCACCCCCAGCCTGAAAACAGCCCTCAACCCCTCACCCAGACTGGCCAGGCACCCCAGTGGGGACCCCCACCCTGAATGGTGTGTGACCAGCTGCAAACAGCCATCATCCCCTCACCCAGGCTGGCCAGGCACCCCAGTGGAGACCCCCAACCTGATCCAGGACACCCTTCAGGGCAAACCAGCTGGCCCCACCCATGCACCAGGCCTCTACCCTATATAGTAAAAGGGTAATATGCCTCCCGGCACCGGGATCAGCGTGACAGGGGGCAGCGCCCAAACCCCCTGATCGCCCTGCGGCTCTGTGTGTGACAGGGGGCGGGGCCACAACCTCCCTATCCATCCTGCTCAAGTCACCCCAATCCCCTGAGCAGCCCTGTTCTGTGCCTGATAGGTGGGAGCTCCCCAAACCGCCCCCCACGGGCCCTGCTCTGTGTGTGACGGGTAGAGCCATAACCTCCCCATCAGCCCTGCCCTGAGTGTGAGAGTGGCGGCGCCCCAACCCCCTGATTGGCCCTGCTCTGTGGGTGATAGAGGGCGGTGCCCCAACCCCCTGATGGGCCCTGCTCTGTGTGTGACAGGGGGCGGTGCCCCAACTCCCCTATCGCCCCTACTCTGTGCGTGACAGGAGGCAGTGCCCCAACCCCCCTGATTGGCCCTGCTCTGTGCATGACAGGGGGTGGCGCCGCAACCTCCCCATCGACCCTGCCTTGAGTGTGACAGGGGGCGGTGCCCCAACCCCCCAATCGGCCCTACCCTGATCGTGACTGAGGGTGGCATCACAACCTCCCAATCTCCCTGCTCTGTGCATGACAGGGGGCGGCGCCCCAACTCCCCAATCGGCCCTGCTCTGAGCCCAACCAGGGGCTGCACCTAGGGATTGGGCCTGCTCTCTGCCACCCAGGAGCAGGCCTAAGCCAGCAGGTCGTTATCTCCCGAGGGGTCCCACACTGCGAGAGGGCACAGGCTGGGCTGAGGGACCCCCCCCTCCCCCCTGAGTGCACAAATTTTTGTGCACCGGGCCTCTAGTATTTTAATAGGTAGGATATATCTTATTCCTTGTTAGTAATAAATATAGCTTTTGCCAGAGTTGTTGTTCTAGTTGTCCCTTAAGTTAGTCTGTCTCTTAGGGATGCTTAATATTTTAACATAGAACATCTATAGATCTAAACCTGAGAAAACTTTAGTACAAGTAAAAAAGATATTTAAGTTTCTACTGCTTGCATAAATATGCACATCCTAGGTCACTTCAGATTATTTTAAAGCCAATTTTTATAAGAATGATTAAGTATGTACAGTAGCTATTTAAATACACTTTCTTTCTACTATGACTTTAAAAACTACCTTTTAGTCATTCCTCAGACATTAACTTTGCTTTATACTTGTAAACTGCTGCTAAGTATTAATTGCTTATTTAGCATAGTTTCACAAACAAGCAGAGACATGATATTTCTAAAATAGGCAGTGGTATTTTTCTGGATTATACATAAAGAGAGTTTAGAGGGAAATTGTGATCATGAAAGTATGTGATACTGTTTTGCTATTCAAATCATTGTGGGTTCCCTATGGATTTCAACAATAAATTCAATCCCTTAGACCAGGGGTGGGCAAACTTTTTGACTTGAGGGCCACAATGGGTTCTTAAACTGGACCGGAGGGCCGGAACAAAGGCATGGATGGAGTGTTTGTGTGAACTAATATAAATTCAAAGTAAACATCATTACATAAAAGGGTACGGTCTTTTTTTTTTTTTAGTTTTATTCATTTCAAACGGGCTGGATCCGGCCCGCGGGCCATAGTTTGCCCACGGCTGCCTTAGACCAAACTTTCAACATATTTCTGAAGCTGTCACCAAAGTTTCTATACCCAATGGAAGCTCTTGACTATTTGGTATCCTTTACCTGTCCTGAAATCTACATCATCTACAATGATGTCAGACACATGCAAATTTTCTAAACCAACCAACCAACCAACCAACCAACCAAATCATCAGTTTATCTCAGTGAATGGCCTCTTTTCCAAAACACAAGGAAATTTCATGACTTGAAGCTCCAGAACAGATATATAAAAAATTAAAAAAACTGTTTTCCAATGTGAAAATATCAACTAAACAATCTCAAAAATCTTCATTATCAAAGGTGACCTATAAAAAGTTAAATTGGCTGATTATGGGCCCTTCTGGCTTACAGCTTCATCTAAAATTGGAAACCCTAGGAAAGCAGGTCAGCTCATTTTTACCAGTTTGACACTCTCTCCTCTAGTTCCTTCAGGAGATCCCGGTTGAGCTCGTACAGCTGAGGCAAGTAGTATAGTATCTGATTTAGGATCCGGTCCTCAATCACTGGTTTCCCAAGTTGTCTGGAAGCATGAGCAACAGCATCCCGGAAATCCTATTACAGTTCAGAGGAGAAAAACAATACAGGTATACATATAACCTGAAAAAACTTTTCCCCCTAGTCACTGTATTCCCTAAAACAACAAAATTGCAAAACTGTGTTCCCCTTGTAGAATTAGAAGTTGAAAAATATCCACTTCCTTCTATCCCACTTACCTAGAGAGTTTTGTTGTTTTGTTTTTTTTAATACAAAGTGACTGGGGTAGATACTTGCTTTTAAAGCAGTCTGTGTGATATTGCTCTTAAATCTTTTGGTTTGCTCTCCAGTTATACTCAAGGGCATGTTCAGAAACTGTATGGCAACTCTAAGTAGAGTCTAAAATTATTCCAATACTGCAATATGAACACAATCTATTTTAAAGGCCTCCAGGAAATCTTAGCTAAATTTATCCTGGAAGAATCCCTTTGTCTACTTTCAGTAATCACTTCCCAACAACTGGAGCATTCTAGGTGAAGCATGTGAAGGATGACACATTCTTGATAATCAGAGAGTACTGGATCTATGACCTCCCTCACTCTTGGTTTACTGTACCTCCTTGAGCTACCTTCATTTTCCTCATCTTTTTCATTATTAATAACGCCAAATAAAAATGCATTTAATCTGTACCAAAGTTATTTGAACAAAATGATTTTCTTACAAAAAGGTTTCATTTTATTGGACATTTTTCATTCATTGGTTAAAAGAAAAAAAATTAAACTGTCCAGAATAGTATATCAGAGGGAAATCTAGGTATGATTGAGGCAGAAAAATGAAGTTTCTGAAGAAAACCAGTGACAGTCTCTTAACAATGAATGTAATATGTTCTTTCTAGGTTGCTTTTGTTTTTGTTTTTCAGGGAGGGAAGGACAATATGCCTAGCTAAAAAAATGCTTTCTCTTCAGATTCCTTTTCAGCTAGGGATGGCCATATGACCCATCTAATTCTAGCTACTGAGATACAGATGAAAATTTCTGAGAGGGGCCACAGGAAAATCTTTCTGTTCACCTTCTAAATTCTGTCATATTTAGGATAACAGATAATTTGTTAAATTGAGGAGTACTTCATTTAGGTATAAATTGCATATTATCTAACAGATAACATTTAGAATTTGAAGTCTGATTTTTTTGTCACTATTGTTTAGTTTCAGTATATATACAGTTTACATAGAAATTAACTGGTATGTGTCTAGATTTCACTATCCCTGGAGGGTAGACCTCAAGATATAAGTAAAACAATAGTGGGATCTTTTCCACAATCCTGAGGATTCAAAAACAAATACTGTTTCTTCTTAGAAACAATAGGTTTAATTTAAACCTTAAAGCAATGGTTGAATAAACCAGACTCCTATCAGACTTTATCTTCCGTTGCCTTTATTTCCACCTCCTTTCCATTCAGCGATACACTGGGCCAATCAAATAAACAAACAGACAAACAAACAAAAAAATACTGATTTTCCCCCTGAGCCCTTCAACACCTTCCTCCAACGTACATATAACCTCATATGTAATTTAAAAGTACTTAAAAGGATTCCTTTTCTAAGGTATGGCTATTTTAGATAAGCCAAATCCTCTTTTGCTAACCAAATGCTAAAAACAAACACCTTAACTTCTACCTTACTACCTGGGACTAACTCTATTTGCCCAATGGTCACATTAGCCCAAAGGAACCATCTACTTACACCAGTAACTAAAGAGCTACTTTTACAACTAGTTACTATAATAGAAAATAAGAATTCCTAAGTTGTATAAACTCCAATCCAGAAAACCACACAAAACATCTCCAGAAACTAAATGGCTATCAGCCAAATTCCACCTCCCAACAGCTTGCTTCTATCAGCACTCACATCTACTAAGAGAAAATAGGGCTACTTAACACTTTTGAAAGTCATTAGATTTTTCCATCATGCAGAACATTAGAATATACGTATATATCATGAATTACTTCCTCAATTTTAAATGTATTCAAAGTACAACAGGTAAACATCCTCTACAGTATTTTTTTTTTTTTTTACTAGTTTAACAATTAATATAATTTAGACATGAGTTCCTTGTTCAACAAAGCAGTAAGCACTGGCCTTTTCTCTGGTAGACTAAATGATGAATATGTTTGTCCCTTGGAAGCAGGGTGACCTTTGTTTTCCAGTTGGAAGGTATTTCCTCAGTCATGACAGTGACAGCAGACATTAGCTGCTAACTAGCTTAAGGACCCTGTTTGACACAGCTTTTGCCAGACTCTGCATTCCACATATCTGCCACCATTGCCAAAAAGGAAACTTGTTTATTTAGGACACATTCAACAGAGACCAGCCAAATAAATCCACACTGGGCTGACCAGTGAGATGGCTGCCTCTAATTGGAGGCCCCAGTCGCATTACCAGGCAAAACTTTCCTTTTCCTGGTACTACTAGTATAGTGGATGGCATAGGCCGCTCTGGATGAACTAATGGCCCATAATATCTTTTTTCAAAATTAGCCTGTAAGAATAAAACAGATATTTAATAATTAAAAGAGAAAATGAAGGACACTGAATAGAAACCATAGGGATTTAGAGAATTAATATCCAGCTATCTATTAGAAATTATCCCTAAGCCTCACAAAGTGACATATTCTAAGCAAGCACTACCAGGACAATCACTGGTCTTTGTGGTACCTTTTTGAAAATGGAAAAAGGCACAGCATCCCTCACTCCAGGTCAATCCAACTTACACCAAAGGCCCTACTCACAACTCATGGCTTTCATAACTATGCATGGTAGCCCTGGCCTCAATCTCATTCCCTCACCTCTTGGGCCATCATCCCCTGAAAATAATGTATTATGGTCCCAGTGCGAGATGTTCACACAGGAATGACACACAGAGTGTTTAATTCTCAACTCTTCATGAACCTCAACCATTTCTAGGACTTGTGTCACTGAAAGGAGGAAATATCTTAAAAAAAGAAAAAATAGAAAGGATGATCACAACATGTGTCTAGTTATTTTTCTAAATGCTAACATCCAGGATAATTTGGGAAAGTGTGATGACACAAAAGCCAGAAGTAAAGTTATTTTGGGGCAGAAGAATCTAAATTGACTAAATCAGTGAGGATGCAAGACCACAGGCCTGGCACTTCAAAAATTAGATCCAGATATACTTTTTCACACTGAAAAGGCTGGGTAATTAAAATAAAAGGGGTGATAAAGTGACAGACTTTACTGATATCAACTACATAATGTCAGTCTAATCTCCTAACATAAAACTCACCGAACCACTTGCACTCTAGCTTCTGGGCACAATAACCACATGCTTGTTCAATTTGGAATTTTTAGAAATAGAAATGGGTTTCTAAATTATAAAACATACCATACAATTTTTCTTCATAATTCCCAGAAAACCTAAAATAAGGACCAGATGAACTTTAAAAAACTCAGCTCCTTTGAGGTATGAACACACTAGCTTTAGTTCAACTCTGATCGCTTTGGTAAGAACTCAGCAAAAATCAATGCAAATAAAATCAAGTATGAACACCTAAGGCAATAAAGCACCAAACAGATGGCCTTGTTCCTTGGGTCAGGCTTTATAACTCCAGTGGCAAAGAGAAGTAGTGACTTAATTACCAGCTGCCCTGCCTGGGCTCCTGACCTCAGGGCATTACTTAACCACTGCTAGGATACAATGAATTACAAAGACCAGATGGACATATGGGCAGACAGGGAGCTCTGCAGGGCTCCCTGACTTCATGAAGGGCATTAAAAATCACTTCATATTAAGCAAAAGCAAAGCAGCTGCTAAGGTCAAAGAGCTTTGATAAATATGCAGAAATTAGTGTGAAACTATGAAGTAAAAGTAGAGGGGGAAAGTCCCCATATTAATAAGTTGACTTTGTTTTTAAATAAAAATATTTTCCCAATGAAAGTATTTCTACTTCTCTTTATGCTCAGGTCTATTATTGTGCATAATCGTTGATGCAAAACTGTGTAAAATACGGCTGACATCAATCCTTTATCTCAAGTCTCCAACCCCCTTAATAACATTAACAAGTAATCATCATAATATATCCTAAATGATCAATATCTACCTTCATTCTCATCTTTAAAAGAGAAAATACTATGATTTCCTGGGCCAACGGAAAGAATTCTGAAAACAAGCTTCTACACTAAAAAACAACTATACCCTCTCCAGTATGGTAGAGATTTCAGGAAACAATTTTTAATCAAATTCTGAACAATTCACTAAGTACAAGGGCTGAGAGAGACCTGAGTTGGAGTCTGGCTTTGCCATTTAGTAGTGGGTTACTTTTGGCAGTTAACTTACTTTCTTCATTTAAAAAATAAAAATAACATCTATTTGATAGGGCTGTTATGAGGATTAAAATAAATAATTTCTATAACATAGTTAGCATGGTAAAAGGCACATAGAGAGTACTCACCAGAAGGCCACTAATTTAATGAAAGGAGAGATTTGGTTAATTTAAATGAACACATGAATGTCATTTAAGATCCACAAGTTCCTGGAAGCTCTGAGACAGTGGCCTATAAAGTGAAGGAAATACCAAACCAAGGTGGGGAAACCCACATCTCAGCAGCGAGACAAAGGTGCCCTTAACAAAGAACTTCATTCAGTGAAGGATGGTCCTCACATAAAGGAAGCTGCTCAAAAGTGAAGGTTTGGAAACCATGTCAGTAGACACTTAAGTAGGATTCTTTACAACTAAAACTAAATGATAATTAAATGGTTCACAAGATTAAAAAAAATAGGGTGTATTCAGAACATGGAAAAAACTAGCGGCTTCTATGAGAAAGCCTTCTATTATTCTTTTTACAATGCATTAAAAAAAGATATATTTTATTTACTAATAATACACATCTAGATATCTAAGAAGCTTTGCCAACTCTATGGACTTACCGAGAGCCTCTCAAATTTTCAAAGTAATGTATCCCCCAACCTAAAGAAATTAGTGTAACAAATGCTTCATTACTAATATCTTTTAACTATTACTTAACCAATCCATCTTTGTCCAAAAGACCTCCAAGCTCTG